GTTTTCACAGTTTGGGTTCCCCTCAGCCACAGATGCTTTTTGCCCAGGTGCAGGATGTGACCCTGCTTAGTGCCAGGGAGATTTTGGGGGAGCAAAAACCCCGAAAGAGGTCAGGTTTTGCCCACAAACACCATCACGCTGTGGTCAAAGCTCTCCTGAAGCTGGGAGGGGATCTGGGCACAGGCTGAGGCTGAATTTTGGTGCCAGGAATAGTGATTTAACACCTCTTCGTTAGTAGATCTCCAGCTGCCTCACCGAGGTGGGCAAATATAAGCACTAAGTCTATAGGGGTGCAGAAGAGGGTATGTAAAATGATCAGCCAGCCCTGAAGGGCCTGAGCAAAGGTCTGGGAAATGCTGTGTCCTGTTTCCATTGTGGATGGTGAGAGATGAGCAGAAGATGCTGCAAGCCGGTGAGTCCCAGGCTCTCCTCTGGGACGGGGCGGTTTAACGTGCTCATTAACGTCACGGGGGGAGAAATAGCTCAGAGGACAGAAAAGGATGCTGGAGGGAGGGAAATTGAGGTGACCGGGTCCCTCAAGAGCAAAGGAGCGTCATGGTGGAGGAATTCAGGCTGAAGCTTGAGGGTAGAAATGTGCCACCCCCTGCTTTGCTTTCCCCAAATGCGGAGGCCTGGGAGGAGGTGGAGGAGGAAGGTGGGGACGTCACCTGGGTGAAGGTGGAGGTGGGACCTAGCCCCGTGTGAGGCCACTCGACGGGGGTGAAATCACCCTGGAGCACCCACGGTGAGGATGCCTGTGAGTGTAACAAGCTCTGGAAAGGAAAGAAAGAAAAAATTGGGGAAGAAGAAAAAAAAAAAATATATCCCAGTTAATTCAGTGACTTGTGCCAATCTGCCTGGGTCAGTTGTTTATTTATTTATTTATTACTGGAGGTTGTAAGCCCGGCGGCACTGGGGTCCGAGCCAGAGGCCGGCCAGCAGCCAGGCGTGAGGAAGGGGGACGTTCCCTCTCGCTCGTCCCCTGCCGATGCCCTCCGCGGGGCTATGCCGGCCGTACCTGCTGCTGCTGCCTGCCCCAGGCACCCTGGGGGGGACGGAGATGTCCCACGTGGTAGTGGCACCATGGCCATCTCCTCCTGGAAACGAGCTCGCTGTACCCACAGCCGCAGGCGAGAGGTAGGTGGGCGATGGGGGATGCTCCAACCTTTGTTCTTTCCCCTCCCCTCCTCTTTTTAATATCCTTATTATATATTAATAACAAAAAGAGCCCTATTGCCTGCTGTGAATCTCTCTCCCGGTGTCAGCGGCATGTGGGTCCCCGTCCCCCCTCTCCACCTCCCTTCCGGGGACCAGCTCAGACACCG